GAGCAAATCTTCGCTGCTTCTGTTTCACTGGTTTGAAATTAGGATTGACATTCAGGGAATGACAGGAGACGGAAGGACTAATTCCAGGCATGTCGAGGTGACTCCATGCAAATACGTCGACATTGTGGGACAAGAAATCCACTAGCTCTTGCTGCTCTTCTCTGGTCAGTCTTATACCCACTCTGGTAGTTCGTTCTGGCCTGGACTGATCGATCTGCACATCCAGAAGGGGCTCCTCGGTCAAGTCGGCTGACTCCTCCACCCTATTCTGCTCGAGTGGAGGTTCCTGTAATTGCTATCTGGGGCTTGTCGACCGGACGGGCGCCTTTCCCTTCCCTGCATGCTTTAGTGTGACGGAATAACACTCTTTGGCTGCGACCTGATCCCCCCGAATGTCTATCACTTTATCTCCATCGGGCCCGAGGCACCTCATGACCTGATGCAGAGTTGAGGGTACACCTCGGACTCTGTGAATCCATCCTCTTCCCATCAGGAGATTATACGAGGGGTGAATTTCCACAACTACAAAAGTTTCCATAAGAGCTCGCTCTGCAGCTTGAACTTCTACTTCCACCATCCCGACGGGTTCCACCCTCTTCCCATCGAACCCTAATAAGGGATTTCCGGTGGGCTTGAGCCTCTCTGGTTTAATGTCGAGCCTGTCAAATGTGTCCCTCGGCATAACATTCGCACTGCTCCCAGGATCGATCAGAACTCTGCGCACCAAGCACTCTGCCACTGTCAAACTGACTACCAACGGGTCGTCATGAGGCAGTTGAACACGCTGCAGGTCTGTCCAGTCGAACTTTATCTGCATTGACGGGCTCTGTTGGTGTAGAGTGGTCACATTGCCGACCCTTTTCTTCATCTGCGCCTGCCGCAGGCGCACCCGTAGCAGCTCATCTGACTCTTCACTAGGCTCGGGTCGACCATGGATAGCATTGATTATACGAACTGGTTGCGAATTGTGGGAGCTTTGTTTATGACTCCTTTTTATTTGTTCCACCGGTCGATTCTGCTCCATCGCCGAGCCTTGAACATAACTCGCAAACTCCCCTCTAGCTATCAACATCTCCACTTGCCTCCTCAGGTTCCTGCATTCGTTAGTCTGATGTCCGAAATCAGAATGAAAAGCACAATGTTTAGTTTGATCCCTCTGTTCGAGGGGTTGTCTAATTGGCAGTGGTGGATGAAACTTGTCCTTGTTCTCCTGATACAACCTCGCCAGAGTGACCTTCAGCGGAGTAATCAACTCTTCCTCCCTGGACCTTTTTTCGGCCTTCCAAGTGGTCTGACGTTGCGGCTGAGCCTGCTTCTGCCTGATCTTTGCCTTGGACTTTTCCTCGGTCGACACAAGCGACGTTGTCCGAGCATTAGCTGCCTCCTCTTCTTCGAGGCGCACAAAGCCATCGGCTCTCTCATTGAGTTCATCCATGGTAGCTGGCGTATTCACTACCAGACTGGTGTGAAACGGAGTTCCGCGTGTCATGGCTAACTTGAAGGCTTGAACTGCCGTAGAAGGATGGCATTCGATTACCATACTCTTAGTGAGATTAAACCTGGTAAGAAAGGCCTGGAGCCGTTCATCCTTGTGTTGCCGCATCGTGAACAGGCTCGAGATGTCCTTCGGCGGGCGTTTGTTCCCATAGTACTGGCTTATGAACCGATCGCACAGGTCCCTGAAACTGCCAATAGAGCTCCTAGGCAAGTTTTTGAACCAGCTGAGCGCCGGTCCGGCCAGGCTTGTAGGGAAGCATTTGCACATTAAAGAGTCGTTTTCCGTATTCAGGGCCATTTTCAACTGGATATGATACACATGATCGATCGGATCGGTTGTTCCGTCAAACAGAATAAAGACTGGCATAGCAAACTTCCTTGGATGCGGCGCATTCAAGATCTCGTCGGTGAATGGTGAATCCACCGTCCGAGCTGCGGATCGGAGAGCTTCATTCTCTCTCTGGAGTCCAGCGGTAGCTCTGTGAGTTACGGTTCTGCCCTCCGAACCGTGATGAGTGACAGTAACCATGGAGGGCCGGTAAGACGGATCGAACGACCGTTCCTCTATGAACTCTCTCTGCCAAGGCGACGCTACTCGACGGCGATCTACCTCCATCACTTCCTCTCGGTCAAACCTTTCCCGCTGCGGATCAACGTGAGTCGAGCCTTCGTGATCTTCAACTCGACGAACATTTGGTGGCGAATTGTCCATCATCCTTTCATCACGGTGGTGAGCTGACTGATTGTTCTCGTTCTGATCGCCTTGATGCGCGATACTAGATGGAACACCTCCTTCTCCGACCGGAAGCGGATGCGAAACTGCGGGTATTTGCCGATGCTGCAATCCAGCTTTCAATTCTGCATTTTCTTTTCTGAGAGCTTCAATCAAGTTCATCAACTCTTCGAGCTTTGTTTGCTGGACAGCCTCCATCGGATTGGAGCTTTCACCTATCATTATTCCCGAACGGAGTAAAGGCATTAATCTCAAGTTCGCGAGTAGATCTGAGCTTCGTGAGTAGGAATTTTTAGATCTGGCTTCTAATTCTCCGAATTATGCTCACTGTTTACAAGATCTGAATTGTCTGGACTCTAAATCCGTCAGATCCTGCCACAATCGAGCAACTCGTGGTTGCGTAGATCTGAAATCACTCCTGCCAAGGCTTCAAGAATCGTAATTCCTCCAGAGTAGGTCACAATCGCTCAGATCTGGATTCAAATCCGCAAGATCGAGTCTCGATCAACCGAATTGGTTTGAATCCATTCGATACTCCTCATTGATCAACCAAACTTTCATGCGTTTCCCACAGACGGCGCCAATTGAAGATGCAAGAAACTCCTTCTATTCTTTCTCTCTCTAGAATTCTTACACCTCAACCCGAATAAAGATCCCTCTCCTCTTCATTCCAACTCCTATTTATAGATACTTACAAGATATTTACAAGATATTTACAAGATATTTACTAATTGCTGGACCTGGGCCTATTCCTCAGTAAGCCCTGGTCACCCTTGATGGGCTTACTCCCGCTCGGCCCATATGGCAGTGTCTTTCTATGGGCTGACCCAGCTGTTCGGACTGAAGGTTGTGTTTTGCGAGTCGGACCTGGCCCATGTCATCCAGGGCCTCCTCATTTGGGTTTCTTATTTGACCCACCAACTCATTATAATTTAATTAATTCTTTTGATTAAATTTGTGGTGCTGATGTCAGAAATAATTCCTTTAATTAATAGTAGTTCCAATGGGGAAAGTTTTAGAGGCTTTGTGCCTAAATTAATGATGCAGGTAGTTCAATGGAGTCTCTAACTTGTGGGCCTGAAAATTTGAATTGCGGAATGATTCGCAAAAAAAGGGTCACGCAGTTAATTCGCAAAAAAACGGTCACCCAGTTGGTGATCGCGGGTCTGCTTGATTTTTTTAAAATTATTATTATTATTTTTTTTAAGGCCAAACCATTATAGTCCTTAGCCTAGAATTGGGTTAATGGCGTGTTTAGCTTGGAAAAAAAAAAAATTTCAAAAATCAGTTTTTTTTGAGGCTTTTTTGGTTTTTCTTCTTTTTTCCTAACACAACTGAACCAAAGAGCCTTCAAAAGCACTGTTTGGCCGACACAAGTAATGTCTTAAAGGTTTTTTTGGACAAAAAAAGTTTTTTTTAAAAAAAAAAGAAAAAGAAAAAAGTGAATTATTTATTATTATTATAAAATTTTCAATGTTCGGACATTATAACTGTTTTAAGCACTATTTGCTTGACACAAACAGTGTCTTAACGGTTATATTGGGCCAAGAAAATATTTTTTATTTCCTAACAAAATGATTTTTTTTATTTTTTTTAAAGTGTGACTTTGTTTTCACTTCTATAAATAAATAAATCAAATGATAATTGATATTATATTGTTTACAATATTGTATACATAAAAAAGTTAATTGACTAAATAATTTAATCAACAAAGAATTTAATTACTTAAAAAAATTATTAAAATATTAATATTTTTGGAAAGCAAAAACGCATCATTGGACTACATGCGATAGCTAAAATTTAGGGACTTCAAAACGCTGACGTAACTTTTAAAAATGCTAACGTGATTCTTGAAAATTGCTAACATGTTAAATATGGAAAGCCAAATTTTAGAGATGAGTTGCTCTAAACAATGTCGGGATACTCGGTGTTTTTTTTTTTTTACACAAATGAATTGATCGTATTTTTGTTATGTTATGCTAAGTCTTGACTTATTGATTAAATGAATTACACTATTATGTTATTAATGTAATAATCATGTCTTGTTCCTTGACCCGAATAAAAACTGTGTCAACACAACATATATTGTCATCCTTAATTTTTTAGTACCTTACAATATGGCAAACTCAAAGATTTTTCTTAATTTATGGTTTAGATGTATGCAATTTTATTTTTACCACTATTAAGGATAACTAATTGTAGGCCCTATTCGATATGTGTTTTGTTTATGTTGTTTTTATTTTTGGGCTGCTACAGTATTGATTTTGGCAACAAAAGCACGTGGTGCAGTCTTGTTTTATTTTACACAGTGCTAAAACATGTCGTGAACAGTGGCTCAAAACCAAAATGTCAAAAAATTATTTTTTCTTATTTTGGCAATTGTTCATAGCATATTTTGCATGTTTCTATTTTCGACATTTTCACATCAAAATATCGTTTCCAAACGTGTTTTCGATCTATTTTTTAAACATTCTTACAACAAAAATACTGTTTATGTTTTAGCCAAAAATAAAACACCTAAAACAAAGCGCATGCGAAACGAATCTAAGAAACAATTTTCCACAAAGCTTCATGCTTATATCTTTAGACATATTTACCCTTCCATTTCAAATTAAAATAGTCATTAGTCCCCAAAGTACAACCATGAAAAGCAAGAACTCTTTTACGTATCCTGTAACTGTATGCACAGGATTGAACTCCTTCTTATCTTCTTTATTGTCCTTTTCTCTTAGGCGAGAAACTTCAGAGAGTCCACAACCTGTAGCATTTGCTGTATAGTATTAAATTCATATTTTATTATATATACAAAATATAGTATATATTTTTATATATATACTAAATTTGTATACATACAACTATATATAGACTCGTTTTGTATAGCACAGCACAGTTCATCCACATCTCCTCATTGGATCATCAATCGAACAATAACATGAAAACCAAAGGCTTTTCCGATTTATACCTTGTTCTTTCTCTGGTCTTCTGCTTTGTGGTCTTTCAAGGTTCCGTACATGGTCGTCTGCTCTCCATCTCCAAACCCAAACCTGATAATGCGGCCCCTTTCGCTCGATGGTTGGTCTCTCAGAGTTCTTGGGGGGTCTTAAAGTACGATCTTTCTCTCTCTCTCTAGCTTTATATATTGTTTATTTTAATGGGTATTTGTATTTTTGCTAATATATTTCATATAGTTGACTATGTGTTTGGGTTTTATATCAAATTGGTTTTGTTCGATTGAGAAAATTGTTGATTATGGTGTTTTCGTTTCGATAATGCTTAATTGAGTTTATTTAGTTTTAATTGTCAAATATTTATTGTTCTGATGACTTTGAACAGGGATGGTTTTTGGGTTATGTCAAGTGATCGTCAATTTTATATGCAAATTGAGTTTATTTAGTTTTGATTAGTAAAGATTATTATTTCGATCACTTTAAACAGGGAAATTCTGCCTTAGATATGTGAGAACGGGGGAACTAATTATCTGTTGATGGACGTCTTAATTTTAGTTCTGGGGTTATAATTTATCATTAGCTTGGGTAGAAATCCTTTTGCTATAAGAAGGTCTTCTTTTATCATCAGAACCGTTTGTGATTGAATCCGGTCATGGTATTGATTTTGCTTAAAATTTTGACAAAACAAAAAGGGATTTGATGAAAATATTTGGTCAGATATGCTGAAAATTGAAGAGTCCTTACTATGTGGTTGGGAATCAGTGGTCTTATTGCTGATTTATTTGCTTAATTAAGGTGCTGTTTTTATGAGAGACCGTTTAGTGAGTAAAAGTTTTCTTGGGAACCTTTCATGTTAGGTGAAAGAGAAGTGAACAAAGGCTTCGATTAACATCTTCATGCCACGAAATGCGCAGATTGAAGTTAAATATTTTAAAGCTTGAAATACAAGCTGAAGCTGTGTAAGATAGAACTTAGAGAAAATTGTCCTTCCAAGTATATCTTCATAAAATCCGTTTTCTCGTAAGTTATTTTATTTTGTCTTTTCAGGAAGGGGATTGGGGAAAGGGGAATTTATTTAATGCATGTATAAATTTATATCTCTAACCCATGATATAGTAAACAGTTTTAATTGAAGTGGATTCATTTCCGCAATGATGTTATGCTAAAATAATAATAATAATAATGAAGAATAAATCATATTTGTTGAGTTAAGTAAGAGATGCAACGGGGACGAGTGACCTATCCTATGAATGGAATAGGATTGGCTCTCAGACCAGATCTGGAAAGTAGTAGTGGGAAAATTAGGTTATGGATTATTCGACTTGAAGAAGTATTTCAGTACACAGTGGATACCATAAATCCAACCATAGGTAAAATTAAATAAATAACTAAATGATAAATAGAATAACTATTAGTTAGAATGTAATGAGCAAAAAATCCATACAATACTTCTAAAGAAATATTAAGAAAAAAGGAGGGCTTTGATTTTCTTATATATAGAATCCAATGCAATGTGCAGAATAGTAGATTGGTCCAGGCATGATCCATCGTTATCTTCACCTCATATTGAGAACCTGATTATTCTATTTCTCAATCTCTCATCTTCTCAAGGTGCAAAACTGCTCCATCATGAGGTCGTGGCTTACATTATGGCCAGCTGCTAACCTGCCTTTACCCAAAGCTTTGCTATCTTTTTCAAAATCTTCAGTCTCTGATAATTTTTATGTAGGCAATCTTATATACTGTCGATTGAAGCTGATGTGGAGATTCTATTTTTGCAGTACCATCTCAAGTGATCTGGGAGGAGCACCTTTTGGGTATGTTTTTACCTTTTTTTTGGTGTATTCTTGTTACAGCTTTCAAGTGATTGTTAATTCAATAATGCCCTTGGAAATGATTGTCAGATAAATACATCAATTTACGCCTCTTATTTTCAATTTACGCCTCTTATTTATTATGTGAGCATGAGAATGTATTACAAGTAGTATGGATCATAAGTCCTAATTTGTCAGAAATGCATAATAAGTTCTGTAAATCAATCAGAACCAAGTTATTATTACATTTTCTTAAAATGGTATATATGATGCAAAGATATATTCATTTAGATTGTGATGACCCAACAGTTTATATTTATTTCATATTTAACCATGGGGAGTTTATATCTCAAAGGGAATTAAAGGAAAAAAAAAAAAAAAAAACCTCATCAAAGTCTAAAAGTTCAAACTGATTGGCTCCTACCTCAAATTATGAGATTCTGATCAGGCAGTAGTTTGCTGCTGTGTATATGTACATAAAAGGAAAATGTATCATTGTCTCCTAGATTATGAAGGGAAGGATGTGTGAAATGAGGCATGCCTGAACTCAACTGTATGAGTTTGAGTTAAATTTAAAGTACCCAAAAAATTGTGGGGTCGGGAGGGTTGTACTACATTGGTCCCATTATGTACATATATACACTATAATATGTTTGTGTTTCTATTTGGTCTAGCTTGGGTTTTATTGGGTTGCTCTAGATATCCATCCGAACCCAGCTGAATGAAAACCAGGCTTGTGTTTTGTCCACGCTTAGCCCGATCAAACTTTCAATTCGGCTAAGGTTGGCCCGCACAAGTGCAAGCCTTGTTAATAACTCGTTTATTTCCTGTACTATTATTTACTCAACAGAAAATTCCAATTTCTATGCAGAAATGTGGTTTCCTTCAGTGATGGGCTACCTGGGAAAGGCCGCGGAATTCCATACTTCTATTTGACAACCCTTGATCCAACTGCGAGTAATGCACTGAAAGATCAGAGGTCTTCCTTCACAATCAGTGAATATCCAATTGGAACTTGTAACAAAGCAGATCCTGAGAATCCCACATGCTCAAAAATTACACTCACAGGAAAGGTGTGTTGCATGATTAATTGTTATTTATTATTGAATTTATGTGTGGTTTTGTTAACCTCCTCTAAAGTTCCAGTTTGCGCTTGAATAATTTCCTCCCTAGTTTCAGTTTGATCATCCTCAACTCATTTCTCTGCATTTATGATCTCTTGTAAAAGCCTAACACATGAGGTGTCTAAAAACAATGTCAGGATAACTTCAAAATACTTTTATGTGGTTGATAGAGAGACATTTAAGTTGTGGTAGATCATTTAGCTAGTGTTAGTGATTAAATAAAAATGGGGTAAGTGCAAAAAAAAAAAAAAAAACCTTGAACTATGCCCCTATTAGCAAATAACCCCCCTTATGTACAGAAGTTGCAAAAAAAAACCCCTGAACTAACTACTGTAGCTGCAAATTGCCCACTCTGGCAGCCGGCGGTTAGATTTTGGTCGTTAAATTCCCCATGCCTGGCACATGAATACCCAATTTCAATTAAAAGACCATACAGCTCTTATGAAGCCGAAAAGACCATACTGCCCTTCTTACAGTTACACCCAATCCCCAGCCAAACATGCCCTATATATATATCCCTAAAATCCGTAACTCCATCTTCTACCTCTTGCTTGATCTGATCGACTACTGAACCTAGCCGATTATCTTTCTCCATCGTCTATCTCTCTCTGTCTATATATATATAGAGAGAGTGTATCGTTTAGTTAGGGTCTGCGTCTCTGTCTCTGTATGTATATACACGCCATTTGTATTTGTCATATCCAATTTAGCTAAATATAAAAAATATATATATGAGCACTAATATGGATATTGTCAAACAATCAATGATATGGATATTGCCAATGATTCTCTTATGTTTAACTCTTAGATTTTAATCAAGATAATTATAGAGTTTACAGTTGAATGGCGGATTTTATAAGGAACCAGTGTTGCAGAATCAGACAGTGGTAGTGAGTTTTAAGCCAGACGATAATGCCTTCTAAGTGTGAACATTCTAGAGCAGATTCAGCCTCATCAATACTAAGACAAGGAACAAATTGATTCAGCAATTGGTGGACCTTCACAACAATGAGGCCAAAGATTAGGCATATCCCCCAAGTTAGGAGATTGATACAGCCCCATCACCTATTCTACCTCTTTGAGGAGGAAAATTGTCTTGACCCGGGGTTAGAGGAGGGAGGAAAACCATTACTTGACAATGAGGATCTTACTTGGTGGAGTAAGAATGTGTCAGGGTCATTGTGATAAGATTGGTGAGGTGTCGATTTTTGAGTGGCTCTTGTGATTTCAATCCTCCACATCATTTAGTTAAGTTTATAAGCATAGCTCAAGGGTGAAACAACTACCTTTTATTAAAAGGTAAAAATGTCTTTACCAAATCCTGGCAATGGAAGAGGAGCGGAGAATCCAGAGATGTCTTCTCTGTCCTTAAATGCAACAATTTCATAGTTCAAGGGGGTTATTTGTATTTCTGGGGGCTTAGTTTCACTTGGGGCATAGTTCAAGGGTTTTTTTTTTTTTTTTTGCACTTTACCCAATAAAAATACTTATAGAAGGCAGCAAGTTACATATGTGTACCCGAGAAATTCTCACTACGTTGCTCCATTTTCTGCTTTCTAATTTATTGTTTTCAATAATATTATATTTATGTTAACAAAAATTAACTTTACCATTGATAGATAATAAGTTGCTGACTGCTGACTTATGAAACAAGGGAGTTTGATTTTTTGAAAACTGATGGTGCCATATATCTTGACTTGGACGCATAGATCTTACTTAAGTACCATTGATACAGAATATGTGAAATGTCACATAGCCAACCAAATAAATAGATAGATAACAAAAATAAAACAAACACAATAAATAAAAAGAAGCACTGGTGTCAATCAGCTTTTCTGCTGTCCCAATTTGCAATGGTTGCTTCCTATACTATTAAGGCTCAAGCAAGAGTAGAACCTTGGGATCCATGACCGCCATATTGCGGAACAGAAAGAGGCCTGTTTAATTATAAATGCATGCATCTTACCCACATTTTATCTTGGCCAATTTTGCAAGTTCAGGATATGTTGTCTCCAAAAGCCATTTAATAAGATCTCATTAACTTTGTTAAGTCTGACAAGGGGAAACCTTTGTCTGGAAGTATTTGGAAAATAGAACCTCGCTCACTACTTTTATGCGGTACACCTTCATGCATGTATTAAAGCAGTGAATATTTTTTTATTTTTTTTATTTTTTTTTTTTCTCTAAAAGTTAGATTAAGGCTTTGCTGAGTATTTTGCTAATTGGCTCCATATTTTTGGCTTAACTTTGATAAATTTGTCTCTATGGTATTTCAGTTACGCGTACTTGATGAGAATTCCAGTGAAGCTAAATTTGCTCAAACCGCCTTGTTTGCAAAGCATCCTGAGATGAAGGGTAAATTACAAATATTTTGTACATTAGCGGTAGCTCTTCTTTCTGTTGTAGTAGAACCTGATTGCTTATTAGTTTCTGTTCGTTTTATCAATTTCTGTCTTTTGTTTACAAATAGTGTTTATCCTTTCCTTACTTTTCCTCATTTCTCTGGGTTGTTGACAGACTGGCCTAAGGATCATGATTTTCAGATCTTCAAATTAGAAATTGAAGATATCTTTATGATCAATTGGTTTGGTGGTCCAAAACCTCTGACGGTGGAACAGTACCTGCATGAAAAAATGTGAGTATTAGATCAGTAACAGCTCTGCTCCAATTATGTTATATGAGAAATGTATTCCATAATAAATAAACATTTGATTAATGTCAAATTTTCCTCGAGAATTAATGAAATATGATTACATTTCAAATTGCACTTCTTGTTAGCTGATACATTTATTTTCCCCACACATGGATATCTGCCACTTTCAGGAACGAACACTCCTTCATTCTCTGAATATGCTTCTGATCTCCATCCTTCCAATGTATTTGTGTGTTGGACCTGAAAGGCGCTCCATTGTAGAGTATATTACAAACCCTTTGTAAATAAATGTATGTTACATTTTTATGTAAATAAGTTTATATCATGTAATTATCATGCCCCTATTGTCCAGGAATATAATCCTAGACAATAAACTTAAACTGGAGCTTGAAGTCAGGCTCATTATTATTTATACCAAAATGTTAAATAATCTTCTGCTACTTTATGAATTGTTTCTCATCTTTGAAGACAAGTTATGAAGATGAAAGTCACCTCGGAACATCCTTACAAGACATTCCATGATGCTCAATTATATTAGGGCGAATAGAAGAAAGACCTTAGATACCTTATAATTTGGGATGGGAATATATTGCACTGGTTGGTGGTTTAGTAACACACCAGCAGAACAGGATTTCAGATGTTCCGTGTTCAAGTCCTGAACACTATCGTACCGGTTTTGGCTTTTCTTGCACCGGTACAAATTGGATTCTGTTTTGAATGTGGCTCTTGATATCTCCTGTATAAACAAGGTTTCTAGGTTATTTGGTTGTGAAAAAATTGCGGAGATTTGTGAATACACCTAGAAATTAAAAAACCCTAGCAAGGAGTGTCATTGTTATTACTTAGTAAGGATCACTAAGAAGAGGGCAGATTGTTCATGGAGCAATTGCATTCGATCGGTGGTTCGATTGCATTGTGGAAGTAAGTCGCGTGGCTCGTAGCAACTGAGCTCTAAGTGTGTTTGAGTAGGAACCCAGGACTTAGTTTGAAGATTGTCATGAACCAGGTCCTGGCAAAGTGAATTTAACCATAAGTCTGAGTCAAAGTAGGTGTAACTATTTTCTTCAATATAATGGATTGCTTTACTCGACACTACGGTCTCGTGGTTATTTCTTGCATACTTTTTTCATGTAAAAGATTTGGTGTTTTTTTTGTATTGTCATGACATTTATTTTGAACTTGGACTGCATTATTGAATAATACCTAGCGAGTAAAATTGGGACGTCTATGAAACCAGCAGTAACTACCATCTTCTTCTTTTGAAGTACAACAATTGTACATGAAATGGCAGAGGCAGTATAAGACAAGAGAAATGGTGCATACGAGAAATAAGCAGTCTGAATTCACATAAAACAGTGACATTCTTTGGAAAAAGTGACATGTCTTGCTGAACCTCTCTGGTCTTGCATTGTCGCTGTCTGGTTTTAGTGCTGTTTCTTAACCGATCGTCCATAGCAAACAGACATGACTAAAATTACGGGAAAAAAACAAATAAAGAAGGATTGGCACTCTGTTTTTCATATAATTTTTTATTGTTTAGAGTTCAGTGTACGATGATATCAAAATCATCTTTTACGGGTTGATTGTAAAAAATCGCCTCTATTATTTATATATAAATATAGTGTAAAAAAAGTCTTGTGTGATATAAAATTCTTTTATATTATCAATTTGATACAATTAATCCATAATCATCTTTTACGGGTTGATTGCAAAAAATCGCCTCTATTATTTATATATAAATATAGTGCAAAAAAGGTCTTCTGTGATATAAAATTTTTTTATATTATCAATTTGATACAATTAGTCCATTGTTTGTATAAAAAAATATTAATACTCTCTTATCAATAAAATAGAATAATATTAAAAAATAGGCAATGTAAAATTGCTATTTTGGACAATTTCCTTTGCTTAACCGTGTCCATAGCAAAAAGCCTAAACCACAGCCACAAAAAAGTAGAGGATGGCCGTCGCGGAGAGGATGGCCGTCGGTACGTTTGGAGCTCACCCGAAACTGTTTTCTGTACTCATCACTGATACAAAGGGAAGCTCGCCACCGAAAAATCGCATGACCTCTTCCTCCTCTTCAAACTCCGCTCCAACCGCGGCGTCCTCGGTTACCGAAAAATCAGTTCCGTCTCCGTCCCCGTCAAAGAACTTCTCGCCGGCACCCACTACCACTCCCTTTCTCTCGTCTCAAACCTCAACCCCACGACCTCATGACGTTCTCCGTCGCCCAAGTCAACTTGGCCAACCCCACTGACTTCTTCCTCCTCTTCAAAAATCGGCTCCGTCTCCGTCCTCGTCAAAAAACTCCTCGCTGGCACCCACCACCACTCCCTTTCTCACGTCTCAATACTCAACCCCACGATTGGTCAAACCTCGGCCAGCCTCCTCCATCGAACCATCGACTACCACCTCTGGCCTGCCACCAAACGGCCCCTCCTCTCGAACCTCGATCCCACCACCCCTCCATCTCTCTCGCCTCCAAATTCCGAATTCTTGAGGTCCACAATACATTCCTCTTCACCACCCGATCACTCATCAAATTGAAAGTAGTTGGTGGTTCGTCTCCACAACCTGTATCCACCGAACCCACATCAGATTCTCCACCACCGCCTCTAGAAACTAAAACCCCCATCACAGAATCACTGATGGTTAAAGAATAAACCATCTGAAGCTGTCCGACCACCAAACCTCATTCCAGAGGAACTTATTTTAGAAAAGGGTGGAATAGGAAGATAAAAGAGCGAATTAGGGTTTTTAAATTTATTTTATGTTAATTTTGATTAAAAAATGATCAGAGATATTTGTTTGTATATTTTTTAAAATTTTATAAATTAAATTGCACATTTTAAATAAAAAAAAATTATTTGTACAAAAAATCTATATTACAGGAATTTTTTTTTTTTTTTTTTTTTTTCACTTAACCCATTCTTTAACCATGTGATTTGACACACACAAAAATAATAAAAAATAAATAAATAAAAATAAAAATAAAAATAAAAATAAAACTCCATAACAGCTGCCTTGGCCAAAATAAAGGTGGTGTGCACATGAACTCTATATATAGAAAGTGGCATCAATTTTGATTACAGTATGTCGAAAGCATCCATGTGAAGTAACTTTTGATTGTATTGAAAGCATCCGCGTGATTTGGATGTGTCAATCGTGTTTTCTGATCTGCTTTTTTCAAATAATGTTTTGCTGACTTGCTTTTATAACCTTTATTTATTTTCTTTTAATCTATTATTATATATTTAAAATGACAAGTAGAAAAGTTAAGTTAAAGACTTGAGTTTTACTGAGTCCAAGAGGAAGCAAAATTCAACCCCCGTATATAGTATAAAACTTACCATGTGTCTTTTGATGTGTCTTTTGATGGATAGCTTAAGAAACTTTTATCTTATCCGAAGAGCTTTACATTTTATTTTTCTTTTTCGCGAATTTCTTTATTTTGCTAAGTCGTTTTCACTAACACATTTTCAAAAGCTTTTTCTCATTCCCCAAGATTTCCAATGGAGAAAAGTCCTATTCTCCGTTCATCTCATCACCTAAATCTATGCCAAATGAAACAAATCCACTTTCTAGTTTAAATTAGAATACAACAATATTTTTATTATATAATAATATAAAAGATTTTTTATTATATGTTGACTGCTTTTTTTTTTTTTTGGTGGGGGGGGGGGAATACTCTCTCTCACTCTCTTCCAGTATTGGTTAAAGTGTAAAACAACGATTTTTATTTTATTAAAAAAATTAGAAATAAAAATTTCTTAAATATGGTTAGATTTAAGGGGGAAAAAACAAAAGAAGAAGGAAGTATCATGTACAACTTTTCTTACATTTTTGTCCTCTTATCTTATCTTGCCTTCTCCTCTTCTCCCATCTCTTTTCTTTTCATTTGCCCCAAAGTGATTTCATTTGCATTGTCTTTTTCTTTTATTCATTATATTAATAAATCCACATAGGAGCCAACAAAATAGCCAAAAAAAGTGTATTTACTCACAGTCGTGAATGAAGAGAAGCAACTAAGAAAAAGAATGTAAAGAATTTTATATTGAATCCTTGCATTTTACTAGACGGTAGAGTTTTAAAGCACACGGACTTAGCTCCAACTTGATTGTTGAACTTATTTTGGGTATTTTTAATGGACTCTCTGAATTTGTCACATCAGTATTTTCTCATAGTCACGTCAATATTTCCAATAGTCACGTTAGCGTTTGAGAATCTCCAAATTTTAGTTATCGGATGTATTTTAATGGGCATTTTCGCTCTCTAAAAATATTAATATTTTTAAATTTTAAAATAAAATTTATTTTTTAACTTTTTCCTAACGGCTATTTTTCTAATTTATAGTGAAAACAAAAACATATTTTTTTTAAATTAAAAAATCATATTTGAAATAAACAATGAAAAGTTTCTAATATTATTTGAAATAAACGATGAAATGTTTTTTTTTTTTTTTAAATAAATAAATATGTATATAATTATTTTTTAAAAAAAATTCAATAAATAAGTTTTTGCATGGCAGGCCCGCGAATCGCCAACAGGGTCGCGGAATACCGTGACCCATTCGTTTATCCAATGGGTGGGGCTCAATTTTTGGCTACCCCATCGGAGCAATTCAATCTTCAAATCTAGCCCAAAATCGTCGAAATTTTGTCCATTGAACCTTCTCTTAGTAAATAGGTTGATTTTAAAAATTATTACGCATGACGATCGTAGACTCATGAATACATAAGCTCATGAAGCTTGTATGTGTTCATTGATACGCTCATGAACAGTGAAGGGCCAGGAATTTTTTTAAGGGTAGACATTTTTAAATTTTTTTTTTTTTTGAAGTGGGTCATTTTAAAATTTTGAGTGGGAGCATTTTTGAAATTTTAACTAAAACTTTGTATAATAATACAAATTAGAAAAAATTCAGTGGAGAAATAAGTGAGGTAAAAATGTGAAGGGGAGCATTTTAAAAAATTGAGTGGGTCATTTTTGAAATTTTAGGTAATAATGTAAATTTTACAAAGTTGAGGGGGGCATTTTTTTAATTTTAACTAAAACTATAGGTAAAAATGTAAATCAAAAAAATTTAGTGTGGGCATATGTGCGGCCGTGCTTGCTCATGAACATATTTATAAACATAAATTTGGGTAAGCTTTGTATGAGTTCACAAACAAGTCAAAACGATTTTAAACACGTGCTCAATCTGATCAAGCAAAAACATAAAATAAAACAGATCGAAATGATTTATTTTTATTAGACGTGTCAAGTTAAACTAAGTAGAGTGAAATCTAAACTTTTTAAAAAGAAAAACCAACTAACCCGAGCTTAGCTTTGGAACGTATCACAATTCCGATTATCCCAAAAACAAATAAACCCAACTCAAACTGATTGATACTCACTCGATTTGTACTTGGAATTAATCTGATGCCTAGAAATGATC